TCTATTCTATGGTGAGCACAATCCCTCCAAAAAGTTCTCGACTTGTGGCGCCTATTTATATGATGTCTATACTTTTCATTTATGACTATTGATTGGATTCGCGATTTTTATTAATTGTCTCCAAAAAGTTTTTTTTTTCTTCTAAAATCTAAGACCTCCAATGAGGAGAACACACACGTCACCAGAGCATACCTTGAAAATCTTTTTTCATCATCAAGCACCTATCAAGATAGATGGGGAGTACGTAAATAATCTCGCTTTGGGGTGTGGGTTTATATTTTGGGTAATGAGATTGACCCCGTAAGATTTGATGTCTTAGTGGCTCCACCTCATAACACTACACATGGTGACACTTTACACAACTCTTTATTATTCAAAACCCTTCATGGGTATCTCTTTCTGAGATGTTCATCCACTTTTAGGATTAATGAGTGACTCTACAAACCAGTGTAAAACTTTTTAGTGTGTTTCATCCTCATTTGCACACTTTTGAGAAACTTCTCACAAGGTCACCAAACCCTGAATTACACTCCAAGTTAAGTATGCTTAATTATGAAGTTCTTTTGTGATAAGTTATCAAAAAGTAGATGTATCTTGTTGGTATAGGTTTTACAAATCAATTCCTTAAAGTCATCATCATCCGTACAATCTCACATTTTAACAAATATCTGAATCCTTTTCATTCTGGTGTGTTTGGGTTATTACAAGCCCACTAGCTTTCGTCTGATTCATTCCCGAACCACATTGTACTAGAAAAGAGGACATGCACTGATACCATTTGTAACACCTCTCACATTTATTGTCTTAGTGACTCCATTCCACAATATTTCACACAACTTCTCGTTAGTCAGAATCATTCACCAGTCAAAACCCTTTATGGGTAGCTCTTTTTTAGATGTTCGTTCGCTTTTAAGATCAATGACTAACCCCATAAACCAACAGAAGATTTTTTCAGTGTGTTTTGTCATCATTTTCACACTTTATAGGAAATTTTCCAAAAGGTCACCCATCCCTAAATTGTTTCAAGTCAAGCATGCTTAACTATGAAGTTCTTTTGTGATGAGTTACCAAAAACTAGATGCATCTTGTTGGTATAGATAATATAAATTAATTCCTTTAAATTATTCTCAACTATACAATTTTACACTTGTACAAATCTCTAGATTTCTCCCATTTCGATGTGTCTGAGCAGTTACACGCCCAATCTCTTGTTTGTTTATGTATATTATGAGGGAGAAATCCCAATTCTAATTTACAAATTGTGAATTTGTGTTCCATACTTTTCTTATGTGCATTATATGTGATGTTTGAATTATATGTGTAATTAATTTTATGTAATTTGAGTTGTTTGAAAATTTGAGTGTCTGTAGTTCCTATATGAAACTCTTATTTTTTAGAGCAAAGTGAATATTGATGTTAATTACATAAATATGTGAAATTCATGTTGGATTTGAGTAATTGGTAGTTTAATAAAATGATATTAAGCTTGAATTGTGATTTTTGTCGATAGATTTGGATTTTTGGTTTCATAATATGTGATTTTTGCACATTCTACAAGTTTCTCACAAACTAATGTCGTGTTGGGTGTCACATGGGCCTTGTCAGATGCCATTTGACATTGTTCCTACATAGTTTCGCACCAGGCATGACCTTAGTCGCGCTAGGTGCAAAAACATCACATGGGGCATGATAATATCATAATTAGGTCTTTTGATCTTCATATAAATAGTAATCCTAAATGTTAGCTTTTGAATATCGTTGGAATCTCCTAAAAATGAGGTCTAGAACTAAAGTTATGATCAAATTAGTGAGCAATGGTCAAACTATCGAATTTAAGTTGAAATGTTGTGATTTTATATATATATATATATATAACTAAAAATACTGAAAACATAGGTGAGTGCGATATATATATATATATATATATATATATTTTAAATAACAGGTGACAAATTAAACCAACTTTTGAGGTCAATACAAGAGTTATAGATAATTGTATAATAATTCTAACAAAATTGAGCTCAACTTGATATTATAAGTATAACTCAATATATCACGTTTATACTCCATAATGTTGTAGGAGCTTGAGATAAGAAGAGGCAAATTGAGAATTGTAATGGTGAACTATTTTACCCTTTAAGCATTTAATCTTATAAATATTTTGAGAAACTTATATTAATGGTTAATAAGGAGAAATAGTGAGAGAGAATATTTGTGATAGAGTTTTGATGAAGATACAAAATTGTGTTTGTGAGACCCTGTGCTTGAGGTTTTATGTTTATCTATGAATGCAAAATATTCCTACATGATGTGCATGATATGAAATGTTTATGCATGACATGAGGAATTCATAGGTGATAAGCGATGATTACACATGATGTGATATGAAATGATTATGTGTGATGTGATTTGAGATGTTTGTGCTTGTGACTTATCAAGCTAAGTATCTATAGGAGTTTTATGATAGATATGTGATGTGAATGACATAAGTACATGATGAGTTATTGGTATGAAATTATGTTTGCAAGACATTTTCTTGTATGAGGTATGAGATGTTTATATGTGATGTATGTGATATAAAATGTTTATACGTGATATGAGAACTATATGTGATAAAAGATGATAATATATGATATGAGAATGACACAATAATGATATGTATGCATGAGATTGACATGAAGATGTGTTAAGTGAATATTACGAGTATGAGTTGACTCCATGAGATGAAATGATGTATAGAGTTTGGTATAAGTGACATACATCATGTGTATAAAATGTTTTCTAGTTGTACATGAGTATCAGCCTTCGAGTAACCATACATGAGTATTAACCACACATGGGTATTAATTTTTAGGCAACCGTACATGAGTATTAATCGCACATGAGTATTAACCTTTGGACAACCACACATGAGTATTAGCCTCTGGACAACTGTACATAAGTTTTACTGGTGCCACATGCATGTAGATCTAGATAAGCTTATGTCCAATTGTATCAAGTTTGTAAACTGTAATTGCTCTTAATTATGTAGTTTGATACGTCTTTGTTGTTACTAATAACTTTGATATTTTGTTTACATTCTCAATATTTATTGTATATGTTATAAGTTATGTTATGTGTGTTGCTATCCGACCTTATCTTATACCAAGAGTTAGAGTGAGACGTATCTCACTTCCCTTGCTCTATTTATTGTTCTCGTGAATGTTTTGTAGAAGGTCATCTAGATGATGATGGTGTTGGTGTTAAGGCATAGGCCTTAGCGTGTTTATGGTTGAAGCTTAGATAGAATGTGACATTGCGATTTACAACTTGGGTTTTGTTATTCTATTTACTTTGTTTATTTCACCTTATTTAAGAATGATGTTAGTCATTAGATTCATGTATTGTTTTGGATGGTTGTTATGGCCTAGTCATTATTTGGAGACATTTATATATATATTTTTTTTTTTGAACCAAATGTGAATTCTCTATTCTAAGAGGTGTTTTACAAACTATTTAGTTATTTTAGATTAAGTTTTATTCAAACAAGATTAATCTTTTGTTTTATTAGTATTATGAGTATGAGTATGCGAAGTAAAAAATGTAACTTGTCCCATGTATAACAAACACTAATGATTATTGGTACCTCACATTTATGCAAAAGATATATTGATACATATGAAAAATATATATATTGGCGCCTCAAATTAATTACATATGTAAAATATATATTGACTTGTTTTTTTTTTTTTTGGAAGGCAACAATTTTATTAAATAAAGTCAATTGCGCACAAGAAGTGTCAATTGAGATAAGTACAACAAAATCATTGAGAGTGTGTTTGGATGGAGAATTTAAATGAATTCATTTGTTTGAAGAATTTCAAATTCTTTGAGGTGAATTACTTTGTTTGGATGAAGAATTTACAACGAATTTGAAATTAAAGCATTTGTGAAATTTTTTGAAATAGTAGAATTTCAAATTCTCCCAAAAAAGTAAGAATTTGAAATTTCTCATATTTTTTTCCTTATTTCACTAATATATTTTATCTTATCTCTTCATATTTTTAATTATTAAATGTTTAAAAATAATTTAAAAATTATTAAATATTATTTAATATTAATTTTTAAAATTATTAAATATTTAAAAATTGGCTAATATTTATTTTTATAAAATTTTATTTAAAAATATCAACATATAAATGTATTTTTAAAATCAATTTTACTATGGTACAATCAAATTATCATATCTAATTTAACAATTTAAAATTTTAAAAAAATTGAATTAACTTATCCAAATAAAATATTTTAAGAATAATAGAAATTGAAATCAAAGTAATTCAAATACCAAAAATTTCAAATTCCTTGAATTTGTAAAATTTCTCATCTAAACATACCATGAATCCATAATTCTCGTTAAACTCTCCCTCTGTGACATATTATAAAATCATAGTAAATACATAGATCCACTCACAGCAAATTGCAGTATTGTAACAAACACATAGATTAACTATGTTGCTCTGTTAGCTTCTATCTTGAACTTGAATTGTTCTCCTTCCTTTTTGATTTCACACTTTTGTTGTAAGCTTTCACCATCTTACTGAATTCGAAGACAGGTGTGAATGTTGCTTCCCCATTGGCTCAAGTTAAATTTTGTCCCCTTGTTTACCTTATATAACCACCACCAACAAAAGAATATAACATTCTGCATAACACTATCATAATCGAATGATGAACCATTAATCGAATTTTATATATTGACTTGGTTGATAATTGATACCCCTGAAAAAGTCTATTGATTATTTTTAGTGAGGTATATTATATTTTTTATCTATAAAATTCCAACCACTACTAGAATTTTTTCTATTACCTAAGGATTTCCTAAGTTTTAACTAGAAAATTTTTCATTCATTGTTTTAATTGGAGTTTGGGCGATTGGTTTGGAAAAATTCAAGATTTTCCACATGATGACTCATATAATATCTCGGTTTATTTCCGACTTAGATCTAAGGAATACTTGCTAAACTGGATGCACAATTATGACCGATGGCTGGACTGACAAGAAAAGAAGGACAATAATCAACTTCCTAGTGAACAGCCCAAAGGGAACTGTATTTTTAAAGTCCATAGATGCTTCTGCAATATCCAAAACTGCTGAAAAAGTTTTTGAGATGATGGATAGCATTGTTGAAGAGGTGGGGGAAGACAATGTTGTTCAAGTTGTAACAGATAATGCAGCAAACTATAAAGCTGCTGGTCAAATGTTGATGGAAAAGAGAAAAAGGCTATTTTGGACACCATGTGCAGCACATTGTGTTGACTTAATGTTGGAGGATTATGAGAAGAAAATCCCAATTCATGAGGAGACAATTCCAAAAGGTAAAAGAATTACAACCTTCATCTATTCAAGAACTTCTCTAATCTCTCTACTACAACATTTCACAAAAGGAAGAGACTTGGTGAGGCCAGGTATTACTCGCTTTGCCACATCTTATTTAACATTAGGGTGTCTTCATGAGAACAAAGGTGCTCTAATTAGAATGTTTACTAGTAATGAATGGAAGTCTAGTAGGTATGCAAAAACAATGGATGGAAAAACAATTGAGAATGTGGTTTTGGATAAGGGTTTTTGGAGTAATATCATAATCTGTTTAAAGGGTGCGTTGCCTCTAATTGAAGTGCTTCGATTGGTTGATATGGATCAAAAACCAGCCATGGGGCTCATTTATGAAGCAATGGAACAAGCTAAGGAGAAGATACAAATGGCTTTCAATGCTATCAAATAAAGGTAACTAAGTATATACTTATTTATTTAATTATTTGAAACTGAAAACAGAAAATTAACTCAATATATTTTGGTTTAGTTATTTGCCTTTGTGGAGCATCATTGATGAAAGGTGGGACAAGCAACTTCATAGGCCCTTACATGCTTCACGCTATTTCCTTAACCCTCAAATGCATTATTGTCCAGGATTTAAGGCTGATTTGGAAGTGAAACGAGGTCTAATGGACTGTCTAACAAGGATGGTGAAGGATGAGGATGAACAAACTTTAATTGACGTTTAAATTGATGATTTCAAAAGACGAGCTAAATATTTTGGTTGTCCCTTGGCTACTAAGTCAATTAATTTAAAGACTCCAGCAGATTGGTGGGAGTCTTATGGTGATGAGCATCCAAAACTCCAAAAATTTGCGATACATGTATTACACTTAACATGTAGCTCATCTGGATGTGAAAGAAATTGGAGTTTCTTTGAAATGGTAAGTTAAGTAGAATTAAAATATATTATATATCTATAAAATAGAATTACTAGTCTACTATACTTGCTAGCTTCTGATCATATTTACATTTGTTTAGGTCCACACAAAGAGAAGGAATAGGCTAAAGCAAAGCACAATGAATGATGTTGTATATGTTATGGCATGGCTAATTCAAAATTAGCTAAGAAGAAGCAAACAAGGAAACTAGTTCAAATTAATTTTGATGATTGCTCATTCGATGATGAATGGATTATGGAAGATGAGCATGGGGAGAATGAAGGATTGGGTTTGAATGTAGACAACCTGGATTTGTTTAATCTATATAAGTTCACAAGTAACCAAAGCCATAGATCGGTATTCTACTTTAGCATTAGACCTAGCAACAACATTTTGTTTCTTGCTCTTCCAAGAGATGATATTTCCACCAACAAATACACTATTCAAAAGTAGAACGTCAATCTATAGAACAACCTGCCTAATCAACATCACAATACCTAGGAAATCACAATGCCTTTTTTCGAATGTGCAACTTCAATGCCTAGAAAGCATTTTAGGCATCTAATATATGAGGAGGCAAAGGAAACATAAGAAATCGAAGATTAAAAGCTAATACAATTCCCCAAACTCGTGTCTTGTTCCGATTGTTCGTTTGGTATGTCAATCATGAAGAAAAACAAAATGATTAACAAACAAGATAGTTACATTGAAGTTTGAAAATTAAATTGAAAGGACATCCAAGAACAAATAAAATAGAATTTAAATGAAGGATAGGAAATGGATGGGTATGCCTAATGCCACAAACTTTGATTTGAGAGACAGGTGTAGCAAGTAAGTCAGTTGAAGAATTAGAGAGAACCAATGAACAGTAAACCAATTACATGTTATGTCGTGCATTTATTAGTCTCCCCAGGTGTAGCAAGTAAGTCAGTTGAAGAATTAGAGAGAACCAATAAACAGTCAACCAATTACATGTTATGTCGTGCATTTGTGTTGGTTATTAGTCTCCCCAGGTGTAGCAAGTACATCAGTTGAAGAATTAGAGAGAACCAATGAACAGTAAACCAATTTCATGTTATGTCGTGCATTTGTGTTGGTTATTAGGTTTAACAAGTAAGTCAGTTGTAGAATTAGAAAGAACCAGTGAACAATAAACCAATTACATGTTATGTCGTGCATTTTTGTTGGTTATTAGTCTCCCCAAGTGTAGCAGGTAAGTCAGTTGAAGAATTAGAGAGAACCAATGAACTGTAAACCAATTACATGTTATGTCGCGCATTTGTGTTGGTTTTTAGTCTCTGCAGGTGTAGCAAGTAAGTCAGTTGAA